ATGAGCTCTGAGAACAAGGGGCTCTCCTTTACAGAACAGCCAAGGCTGTGTCCATTCAATCCTAAATTAATTCCCCAAGGAATTAACCTGCCCCCGACCCACGGAGCAGCACAGCCCTGGTTTCTCTTCTCTTCTCTTCTCTTCTCTTCTCTTCTCTTCTCTTCTCTTCTCTTCTCTTCTCTTCTCTTCTCTTCTCTTCTCTTCTCTTCTCTTCTCTTCTCTTCTCTTCTCTTCTCTTCTCTTCTTCTCTTCTCTTCTCTTTCTCTTCTCTTCTCTTCTCTTCTCTCTCTTCTCTTCTCTTCTCTTCTCTTCTCTTCTCTTCTCTTCTCTTCTCTTCTCTTCTCTTCTCTTCTCTTCTCTTCTCTTCTCTTCTCTTCTCTTCTCTTTCTCTTCTCTTCTCTTCTCTTCTCTTCTCTTCTCTTCTCTTCTCTTCTCTTCTCTTCTCTTCTCTTCTCTTCTCTTCTCTTCTCTTCTCTTCTCTTCTCTTCCCTTCCCTTCCCTTCCCTTCTCTTCTCTTCTCCTCTGGGATCCTTTAACCCCACGCTGTTCTCCCGGTGCCTCCTCTCCCGGCAGCAGGCAGGGATGCCAGCAGTGCCACCAAAGCCACCTTTCCCAGCCGGTTGGTGACAAAGGCCGGGCGCTGGGGGCTGTTTTTCCCAGGGGTGCCCGCCTGGTTAAGCGTGGTTTCGGGGGGTGTTTGCGGCGGGGCGGCCCCGCTGTCCCGCATTGTGCGCGGGGCTGTTCCCACGCGGCAGCACAAAGGAGCAGTCACTCAGCATTAGCGACAGCACAAAGCGGCTCCTGCTGCCCCCCGAACCCTCCCGGGGCGGCCGGACAGACACACGGACAGCAGCAAAACGGGTGGGGAATGAGCGGGGGGTGAGTAAATCTGATACCCTCGCCACAGCCCGTGGTGGTGGGGGAAAACAACTCCTTTGGGGGGGGGAAACAGCATCTTTGGGGGGGAACACAGCACCTTTGGGGAGGGAAAACAACACCTTTGGGGAGGGAAAACAACACCTTTGGGGAGGGAACACAGCACCTTTGGGGAGGGAAAACAACACCTTTGGGGAGGGAACAGGGAACACAGCACCTTTGGGGGGGAAAACAACACCTTTGGGGGGAAACACAGCACCTTTGGGGGGCAATAAGTGGTGAAGGAGCCCCTGGAGCTGCTCTCCCAGGCACGGGAGCGGGGGCTGAGTGGCTCTGCACGAGGGGGATGGATCAAATCCCCCCCATTTGGTGTCAGAATAAGGCTCGGGGTCATTCCCGGGGGTTTGGTGGCACCAGCAGGGAGGCAGGGCCAGGGCAGGGCTGTGCCACCACCCCGGTCCCTCTGCAGCCTCTGGTGGGGGAGCAGAGACCAGAGCAGGGTTTGGGGTCACAGGGTTTGGGGTCACAGGGTTGGGGTCACAGGGTTGGGGTCACAGGTTTGGGGTCACAGTGTTTGAGGTCACAGGTTTGGGATTACAGGGTTTGGGGTCACAGGTTTGGTGTCACAGTGTTGGGGTCACAGGGTTGGGGTCACAGGTTTGGGGTCACAGGTTTGGGGTCACAGGGTTGGGGTCACAGGTCTGGGGTCACAGGGTTGGTGTCACAGGTTTGGGGTCACAGGTTTGGGGTCACAGGGTTGGTGTCACAGGTTTGGGGTCACAGGTTTGGGGTCACAGCGTTTGGGGTCACAGTGTTTGAGGTCACAGGTTTGGGGTCACAGGGTTGGGGTCACTCCCAGCTGTTCCTTGTGTGGGACAAGCGTTCACCCCATGGAATGGCAGGGGAAGAGCAGATCCCCTGCTCCCGGGGGAAAGGGGCAGCTCCCGGCTGGTGGGCACGGTCCCCCCTCACCCTGGCACCCCGGCCTGCCCTCGGTGCTGCCGGCGTGCGCTCCTGGTGCCAAAGCACAGCCGAGAGCACCATCTCCTGGGCACCGCAGAAACCAGCGAGGAGAGCCCGAACGAGGAGCTGCCCTTGTGCATTTTAGCCTGCCTTGGCTCAAGTGGTCTCCTCGTGATGGGGTCCATCCTGCCAGGTGCCTGAGGAGCAGAATGGACACCGCAGAAAGAAAGAAAACGATGATTTTCCCGCTCTAATTCAAGCAAAGCAAGCGTGGGGGGAGATGGATGAGGGCAGGGTGAGGGATGGGCAGCGGGGTGAGAGCCCAGCTCCGGTGCAGGAGCCGCTGCAGGATGTGCAGGATGTGCAGGATGTGCAGGATGTGCAGCTCAGCCCGCGCTGCAGCCCCAGAGGCTCCCGGCACCCCTTCAGTGCCGGATTCCTTGGGCTGACCCCGCAGCATCACACGGGGACGGCAGGACCGTGCCTCCTGTCCCTGTCCCAGTCCCTGTCCCTGTCCCTGTCCCTGTCCCCGCAGCATCACACGGGGACGGCAGGACCGTGCCTCCTGTCCCTGTCCCAGTCCCTGTCCCTGACCCCGCACCATCACACGGGGATGGCAGGACCGTGCCTCCTGTCCCTGTCTCTGTCCCTGACCCCGCAGCATCACACGGGGACGGCAGAACCGTGCCTCCTGTCCTGTCCCTGTCCCTGTCCCTGTCCCTGTCCCTGTCCCCGCAGCATCACACGGGGACGGCAGGACCGTGCCTCCTGTCCCTGTCCTTGTCCCTGTCCCTGTCCCTGTCCCCGCAGCATCACACGGGGACGGCAGGGCCGTGCCTCTTGTCCTGTCCCTGTCCCTGTCCCTGACCCCGCAGCATCACACGGGGATGGCAGGACCGTGCCTCCTGTCCCTGTCCTTGTCCCTGTCCCTGTCCCTGACCCCGCAGCATCACACAGGGATGGCAGGACCGTGCCTCCTGTCCCTGTCCCTGTCCCTGTCCCTGATCCCTCAGCATCACACGGGGATGGCAGGACCGTGCCTCCTGTCCCTGTCCCTGTCCCTGTCCCTGATCCCTCAGCATCACACGGGGACGGCAGGACCGTGCCTCCTGTCCCTGTCCCTGTCCCTGTCCCTGTCCCTGTCCCTGCCCCCGCGCCTGACGCCGGCTCCTCGCCCACTCCCGGGCCAAGCGGGCCAGCGGAGCCCTTTAAAGGCGAACGGGTTCCTCCGCATTCACTCCGCGGGAGCTGCCCCTGCTTGTCCCTCCCTGTCCCTGCTTGTCCCTCCCTGTCCCAGCTCGTCCCTGCCCTGTCCCCGCTCCAGCCTTTGCACAACGCGCCCTCCTCAGACGCAGCCGGCACCCGGTGTCCCAGGGGTGTCCCCAAGGTGTCCCGGAGCTGTCCCGGGCCAGCCCCGTGCCTGGGCACAGCCGTGCATGGAGGGGCCGCTGCCCTGGGGCCCCACAGCAGGTAAGGGGGGATTTAGGGGCACGGGGTGAGGGAGCGAGGGAGGGGAGCAGCCGTCCCAGATCCCTCGTGAGCCAGGGCAGGAGCCTGGCTCTGTTCCGTGCCAGGAGGGGGGGGTCCTGCTGTCCCTGTGGCCGTGGGTGACAGCCCTGCAGGAGCAGGGCAGCCTGGCCAGGCTGGCAGAACCCCAGACCGGCTGGGAGGGTGGCCATGGCACAGCCGGGTGTGAGAACAGGGGAGCGGCCTGGGCGGGGGCTGGAAATGCCACCAGGGCTGGAAACACCTGCAGCTTGAGGAAGGTCAGGCTCCTGAGCTGCTCTGAGGGCTGAGGGAGCTGTCCCCTCTCCCTTCTCCTCTGTGCCCTCTCCCTTCGTGCCCTGGGAGAGGCAGGGCAGGGCTTCAGCCCCATGGCAGCGCCCCACACTGCTCTGGGGCTGGGCTGGGCTGGGCTGGCTCTGCCTCCCTCCTCTCTGACTAACCCTGGCACAGGCTGGCTGCACCCAGCTCCAGCCTGAGCGTGCCCATGGCCTGGCCACCATGGCCTGGTCACCACCATGGCCTGGTCACCACCATGGCCTGGCCACCAGCATGGCCTGGTCACCAGCACAGCCTGGCCACCACCATGGCCTGGCCACCATGGCCTGGTCACCAGCACAGCCTGGCCACCACCATGGCCTGGAGATGCCATGGCCTGGTTACCAGCACAGCCTGGCCACCACCATGGCCTGGTCACCACCATGGCCTGGTCACCAGCACGGCCTGGTCACCAGCATGGCCTGGTCACCAGCATGGCCTGGCCAGCATGGCCTGGCCACCAGCCTGGGCCATCCCCCAGCAGCCTGGAAGGAGCCCGGTGTGGGTGTCTGCTGCCTGCCCTGGCCATGTCACCTCTCTGGCCGTGTCACCTCCCTGCTCCACCAGTCTGGCTGCTCCAGGCACCCCCAGGCCCCTTGGAGGTCTCTGGGATGGGAGCAGCTCCCTGTCCTTGGCAAGTTCCAGCCTGGGATGGGAATTCCCAGCTCCCAGCAGCTGAGCACAGAGGCACAGGTGACACAGTGTGAGTCTGGGATGGCACAGTGTGAGTCTGGAGTGGCACAGTCTATGTCTGCAATTTCTGCCCCAGGCATTCAGCAGGCAGGGCTCTGTGCAGGGGCTCAGCCAGGGATTTTTGCCCTGCAGGGCTCTGGGGCTGGGATCCTCCCTCCATCCCTGCCCAGGGGCTGAACCGTGCTGAGAGTGGCCAGGCCATGGTGGGCACCCATCCCAGGCCATGGTGGGCACCCATCCCACCTGAGAGGGGCCAGGCCATGGTGGGCACCCATCCCAGGCCATGGTGGGCACCCATCCCACCTGAGAGGGGCCAGGCCATGGTGGGCACCCATCCCACCCCATGAGGAACTGCCAAGGGCTGGGGACAGGACCCAGGGAATGGCTTCAGACTGACCCAGGGCAGGGCTGGGTGTGATCTAGGGAATTGGGAATTGTTCCCTGGCAGGGCTGGATGGGATCTTGGGAATGAGGAATTGTGCCCTGGCAGGACTGGATGGGAGATTGGGAATTGGGAATTGTTCCCTGACAGGGTGGGCAGTGCCTGGAGGGCAGGGAGGAGCAGAGCTGAAGAGATGTTCAGTGCCGATCGCTGCCACCCGAGCCTGATTAACCCCTTGTGCCCCTCCTCGGCCAGCACAGCAGGGATGTCCGAGCCCCTCCCCAGCAATGAGGCTGCCCCGGCCGAGTGCCCCGTGTGCTACGAGCGGTTCCAGCCCCTGGAGGCCACGCACCGCCGGCTCAGCTGCGGCCACACCTTCTGCCACGACTGCCTGGTGAAGTGCCTGCTGTCGGCCAAGCTGGGCGGGCACGTCCAGAGCAGCATCGTGTGCCCCGTGTGCCGCTTCGTCACCTTCCTCAGCAGGAAGAAGGTTCTGTGGCTGCCCAGGGCCACCGACCCCCGCGTGCTGCAGGTGCCCCTGTCCCAGCTGGCCAGGAGCGAGGCCACCAACACCCTGGAGGTGCCCCTGTCCCCATCCTCCCTGTCCCAGCTGGCCAAGAACGAGCCCCCCAACACCCTGGAGGTGCCCCTGTCCCCATCCTCCCTGTCCCAGCTGCCCAAGAGCGAGTCCCCCAACACCCTGGAGGTGCCTCTGTCCCCATCCTCCCTGTCCCAGCTGTCCAAGAACGAACGCCCCAACACCCTGGAGGTGCCTCTGTCCCCATCCTCCCTGTCCCAGCTGCCCAAGAGCGAGTCCCCCAACACCCTGGAGGTGTCCCTGGCACAGCTGGCCAAGAGCGAGCCCCCCAACACTCTGGAGCTGCCATTGTCCCCATCCTCCCTGTCCCAGCTGCCCAAGAACGAGCCCCCCAACACCCTGGAGGTGCCATTGTCCCCATCCTCTCTGTCCCAGCTGGCCAAGAACGAGCCCCCCAACACTCTGGAGGTGCCATTGTCCCCATCCTCCCTGTCCCAGCTGGCCAAGAGTGAGCCCCCCAACACTCTGGAGGTGCCATTGTCCCCATCCTCCCTGTCCCAGCTGGCCAGGAGCGAGCCCCCCAACACTCTGGTGGTCCCCAGCCACTTCGTGCTGCCGGAGCAGAGCCTGGGGCGGGTTGCCCCCGGAGCGGGGCTGGCACGGGAGGCTCACATCTTTGTCATCAGCGATCACGGCATGCCCCTGCTGGCCGCCCAGCGCTGCGCCTCGGGGCTGCCCGGCAGCTCCGGGGGGGACGCGGCCAGCGCAGGCTCGGGCTCGGGCTCGGGCTCGGGCTCGTCCAGCCTGGCGCTGGGGCTGCAGTGCTGCCAGTCCCCCATGGCCCTGGCCGTGATGCTGGTGCTGACCGTGGCCATGCTGGCCGCCGTGCTGCCCTGGCTGCTGCTGGTCAGGAGGGACTTGTAGCACGGTCGGGACACCGGGGCAGTGTCGCTGGTGCGGGACACAGCCGAGATGGAGCCGAGACACAGCCCCTCTCTGAAAGCTCCTGGAGAAAGGAACGCCGTGGGATGGAGCCCCTCTCTGAAAGCTCCTGGAGAAAGCCCAGGATGGATCCCCTCTCTGAAACCTCCTGGAGAAAGGAACACCATGGGATGGAGCCCCTCTCTGAAAGCTCCAGGAGAAAGCCCAGGATGGAGCTCCTCTCTGAAAGCTCCTGGAGAAAGGAGCACCGTGGGATGGAGCCCCTCTCTGAAACTTCCTGGAGAAATCCCAGGATGGAGCCCCTCTCTGAAAGCTCCTGGAGAAAGCCTGGGGTGGAACTCCTCTCTGAAAGCTCCTGGAGGAAGCCCAGGATGGAGCCCCTCTCTGAAAGCTCCTGGAGGAAGCCTGGGATGGAGCCCCTCTCTGAAAGCTCCTGGAGGAAGGAACACCATGGGATGGAGCTCCTCTCTGAAAGCTCCTGGAGAAAGGAACACCATGGGATGGAGCCCCTCTCTGAAAGCTCCTGGAGGAAGCCCAGGATGGAGCCCCTCTCTGAGGGCTCCTGGAGAAAGGAGCACCGTGGGATGGAGAAACCAGAGCCTGCAGCTGCTGGGCATGAGGGCAGTGAAACCCGAGGATGGAGAGGGCAATGCTGGCCCTGCTGGGCTCCCCTTCCCCTCTCAGCCTCCCTGCAGGGCCATGGGCTGGGAGGGGGGCCCAGCTGGCCCCACAGGCAGTGCCAGCCGTGCCCTCTCTCTCTGAGCTCCCCAGGGTGTGCCCATACTCCCGTTGGCACAGCTCCCCTCCTGCCAGGGGCACCAGGGACAAGGGCTGGGGGCAAGCCCAAGTTCTGGCCATCACAAGGGGGCAGATTTGGGGTCTCACCCTGCTCTCCTTGCTAGAGCCCCGTGGCACAGTGACATTTCCTTGTCCCTGTACCCCACTCCTGAGGTCTGACAGCCAGGGGCTCATTTTCACCCGTGCCAGACAGGCTGGGCACTGCTCAGCCCCAAAATCCTCCTGGCTTTGCCCTCTTTGGGACTGGTGCCACCTGAGGGGACCCCAGTGCCAGCCCCCAGCCCAGGGAGGGCAGCAGGGGGGCACAGCTGCGTTTGGGAAGCTCTGAGGCTGCTCTCAGGGGAGGGAGAAGGGCATTGCTGGACACCCCTGCTGGGGCTGGGGCCACTCATGGCACTTGTCCCCAGCCCAGTCTGCGCCTTCATCACCTTTGTCCTCCTGACCCAGTCCCTGGCCCCGTGGGTGCTGCTCTCACTCTGTCACCCAGGAATGTGGGTGACTTCATGGGCACCCCAGGGTGGGCAGGATTTCCTCACTGTCACCTCAATGTGAGCGGGATGTCCCTCACTGTCCCCCCAATGGGAGCAGGACATCCCTCACTGTCCCCCCAACGTGAGCAGGACATCCCTCACTGTCCCCCCAACGTGAGCAGGATTCCCTCACTGTCCCCCCAACGTGAGCAGGACATCCCTCACTGTCCCCCCAACATGAGCAGGATGTCCCTGCCTGTCCCCCCAACATGAGCAGGATGTCCCTCACTGTCCCCCCAATGCGAGCAGGACGTCCCTGCCTGTCCCCCATGGGAGGTGGCAGCAGGGCACAGGGCTGGCCCAGGGTTCCCATGCTCCTGAGGGAGTGACAACCACAGCCAGCAGTGCCAGCAGTGCCAGCAGTGCCAGCAGGATGTCTTTGGGACCAGACAGGGCTTTCAGGGTAACAAATCAGGACAAGGAGGGGCTGGGGTGGGAGAGCACTGTGGGGCAGGGGAGCTGATGGTGTCCCCTGCCAGCCCTGGGGTCACAGCTGGGGACGCTGCCCTGCTGGCCCCCTGCTCCCTGTGAGGTTCCTGCACTGCCCCAGCCCTGTCCCAGTGTCCCCACCCAAACCTGGGGTGCCCTGGCCCCGGCCCCGTGGGAGCAGTGCCTGAGACACCGCGCTGGAATGGAAATGATGGAAATGCTGTTTCATAAGAAATGGTGACCTGGTCCTGACGTGTGCCTGCCTCGTTATTTAACACAAACCCTGTCATTAATCGTGTCTGGGCAATCAGTGCAGGTGCCAGGGCAGCAGCCCCCGTGTGGGAGGTGGCACAGGGTGGCACAGGGCACTCTCTGCAGGCACAGAGCCCTGGAGATGTTTGGGAGGGCAGCAGGGATGGGGAGAGCTGCAGTGGGGCGCTGGGAGGGGCTGGGGGTGTCTGGTGCTGTGCCAGGCACAGGGGACACCCAGGGAGGACAGGAGGGTGTTTGCCACAGGGTGGCACTGCTTGGCCAGGGGTGGCGGGCAGGGACAGGAGCTGGGGACATCCCGGGAAATGCTGGGCCAGACATGCAGGGGTGGCACCTCCTGTGCCCCTGGCAGCTCCTGAGCTGACAGTGCTGCCTGGTGCCCAGGGCCACTGTCCCTGTGTCCTCATGTCCCTGTGTTCTCACTGTCCCTGTGTCCTCATGTCCCTGTGTTCTCACTGTCCCTGTGTCCTCATGCCCCTGTGTTCTCTCTGTCCCCATGTCCTCACTGTCCTCACGTCCTTGCTGTCCCCACATCCTTGCTGTCTCCATGTCCTTGTTGTTCCCATGTCCTCACTGTCCCCATATCCTCACTGTCCCCATGTCCTCACTGTCCCCACGTCCTCAGTGTCCTCATGTCCTCACTGTCCCCATGTCCTCATTGTCCCCACATCCTCACTGTCCCCATGTCCTCACTGTCCCCACATCCTCACTGTCCCCCTGTCCTTGCTGTCCCCACGTCCTCACTATCCCCATGTCCTCACTGTCCTCACATCCTCACTGTCCCCATGTCCTCACTGTCCCCATGTCCTCGCTGTCCCCATGTCCTCGCTGTCCCCAGCCCAGGCCTTGTGTCCCAGTGCTCCCCAGGGATGTCCCTGCTGTTTGGAGTCCTCCTGGACGTGGGGAGCTGCTCCAGATGCTCCTGTGCAGCTGCAAAGGCTGCCCTGCTGCAGTGCTGCTGGAGCAGAGCCAGGCCCGGGGACCCAGGGACCCTGAAACCCACCCAGTGCCACCCCTGGGGCACCTCCCACTGTCCCAGGTGCTCCAAGCCTGGCCTGGGGCACTGCCAGGGATCCAGGGGCAGCCCCAGCTGCTCTGGGCACCTGTGCCAGGGCTGCCCACCCTGCCAGGGGAACATTTCATCCTCACATCTGCCTATCCCTGCTCCTGTGCAGCCCTGGCCCAGGCTCCCCACACCCAGCTCTGCCTGGCGTGTCACCTGGAGCTGCTGCAGCTTCCTGGCCACATCCTGGCTGCCCTGGCTGCCCCCCTGTGCCCCTGATGCTGCACCCCAAATGTCCCCTTGGCTCCCAGCCCTCGCTGGGGCACCGGTCAGAGTCCCCTCGGTGCTGAGCTGGCCCAGCCCTGCCCCTGGCTGTGCCACCCCTGTCTCACAGGTGACACTGGAGCCCTGGCCCTGCCCAGTGTCCAGGCTGGGCACAGCAGCCAGGGGTGACCCAAGGCCACGAGCAGTGTGTGCACGGCCAGGTGACCCGCAGAGCCCATTAGGGCAATGATTGCCTGTCAATTATCATCGATTATTGCCTAATGGGGCTGCGGGGAGGGAGCCAGGGCTGTGCACACAGATCCCAGCTCATGGCACCAGCTGCAGGGCCAGGGACACTCCCTGCAGGCAGAGAGCACAGCCAGCACCCTGGGCTGGGGCTGGGACATCCCCAGGTGTCCCCTGCCACCTCCTGGCCCCCTCTGCCAACAGCTGGGCTCTATTTAGCCCCAGCTGTGCCCCAGCTGTGCCCTGTTCCGCCCAGGCTGGTCCCAGCTGGGCTGTGGCTGCTCCATCACCCTCCTGGCAGGTGCCAGCGTGTGCCACTGCCCCGGCCTGCCCCAGCCCAGCTCTGCAGGGTGGCAGCAGCTCCCAGCCCCAGCCAAGGCTGTGTCATGCATCATTAGCAGCAGGAGGTGGCACTTTGATGGCAGGAGTGGGAATTGAGCAGCCCAGGAGTGCTCGCTGGGCAGGCAGGGCTGCAGCTCCATTAGGGAGCAGCCAAAGAGAGCCCCAGATCCATCAGCCAGGCCTGGACATCAATTATTGAACTATTATTGATCAATTATTGAGCTCCTGTGAGCTCCTGCTCTGCCCTGCAGAGTCAGCTGGGAATGGGGATGGGGATGGGATGGGGATGGGATGGGGATGGGGATGGGATGGGGATGGGAATGGGATGGGGATGGGATGGGATGGGATGGGATGGGATGGGGATGGGATGGGGATGGGATGGGGATGGGATGGGATGGGGATGGGATGGGGATGGGGATGGGGATGGGGATGGGAATGGGATGGGGATGGGATGGGGATGGGGATGGGATTGGGATGGGATGGGATGGGATGGGGATGGGATGGGATGGGGATGGGATGGGGATGGGATGGGATGGGATGGGATGGGATGGGGATGGGATGGGATGGGATGGGATGGGATGGGATGGGATGGGATGGGATGGGGATGGGATGGGATGGGATGGGATGGGATGGGATGGGGATGGGATGGGATGGGATGGGATGGGATGGGGATGGGATGGGATGGGATGGGATGGGATGGGATGGGATGGGATGGGATGGGGATGGGATGGGATGGGATGGGATGGGATGGGGATGGGGATGGGAATGGGATGGGATGGGATGGATGGGGATGGGGATGGGATGGGGATGGGGATGGGGATGGGGATGGGGATGGGATGGGATGGGATGGGATGGGATGGGATGGGGATGGGATGGGGATGGGATGGGATGGGATGGGATGGGATGGGATGGGATGGGATGGGATGGGATGGGATGGGATGGGGATGGGATGGGGATGGGATGGGGATGGGATGGGATGGGATGGGATGGGGATGGGATGGGGATGGGCTGGTCTGTGCTGGGCATCCCAAAATGAGGGATTATGGGGACAGGGGTGGGGCTGGAGCTGTCCCCTGGTGAGGGGCTGATTTCTGTCCCTG